GGCTGGCCCCCACCACCCCCACCACTGCCCCCACCACTGCCCCCACCACCAGGCCCTGAGGGAGCTGGCCTCTGGGGACCGATGGTGATCTGGGGAGGGGATAGCATGTGCTGAAGGTTGTCCTGAAGTGAGAGCTGCCGACGGGTGAAATCAGTACCAGAGGGTCCAAACTCATCACTGTAGCTGTGGCTGTGAAGGATGGAGGCAGCGGGGGGCTTAGGGACCCCTGAAGAGAGGTCCTCACTCTTGCTATAGCCATGGAATGGGGCAAAGGTGTCCCCTGGGGGCTCTCCACCTCGATGGTGGTGATGGTGGTGGTGGTGGTGATGTGAAGAAGGTGGGCCGTGACCACTGCCCCCTCCGTGGCCTCCTGGGGGCCCTGGCCCATCAGCAGCCATGTGGAAGAGAGGGTTCTGGAAGGAAAGGGGAATGCGCAGTTGCTGGGCAGGGACACCGTCCGTGGTGACACCCATCTGGCTGAGGCGCATGCCAGCTGCTGTGATGGAAGAGCCACTCCCTTGGGAGAGGCGCCCGGCAGGTGCAGGCCGCAGCCCCAAGGCTGCTGTCAGTGAGGCCTGGCTTGAGTGCAACAGGTCCCCGACAGCTGCCAGGTTGGAAACACTACTGCTGTTAAGGCGGCCCCCAGGCCCGTCACCCTGCAGGTCCAGCATGGACACGCTCTTGTTGACACTCAGCATCTTCTGCTCTGGCTCTGTGATGTCCGAGCTGCTTGTGCAATATGCTGGGGATGACCTGGCCAGCGGCGGCCGACTCACATAGAACAGGTCTTTACCCCCACCGGGTGGTGGTGGCGGTGGCTTTTCCTTGGTTGGGGAGGGGAGGCGAGCCATGTCCAGAGAGCTGTTGGAAGGGGGAGGACACACAGGCCAGGTAAGGCCAGGACGACTGGCCCCTGAGCCTGTGATCCCGTTAGGAGTGGGACCCAAGGCAAGGGCTGAGTGCTGGTGGTGGCAGCCCTGAAGAGGGGGCAGGGAGGGTGGGAGGGGGAGCTGGAGAAGGGAAAGGACAGGCCTAGGAAGGGGCAAGTAAGGCCTGGAAAAGGAGAGAGGAGCGAGGGCTGGTCTGGGCAGTATGGAGGAGATGAGGCATGCTGAGGAGGAGGGGAGCAGAGGCGAGTGAAGCCGGGGCAGCAGGACAGGAGGGTGGGGAGGACAGAGCCCTCACCTGTTGAGGCCTCGAGCCATGAACGACTGAAGGTCGATGGAGCTGGAGAGAGATGCAGAGGGCAAGCACAGACAGGAGGGGACGTGTGGAGAGACGGGGGTGGGGGTGGGGGAGGTGTGGAGAGACAGCGGGAGGAACGGTGGGATGGGTGTCACAGGTGAAGACATGGGTGAGGATGGCAGAGTCACCACAAGATGAAGGACGGGAGCTGAGGCCCCGCCCGCCCCATCAAACTGGATGCCATGCTCCAGGGCCACTCAGTTCCAGCTGCTGTTTGTTTTCTGAGTGCTGGGTCACAGGGAGCTCTCTGGGTAAGGTGGGAGGCTGGGGGCGGGGGTTTGTTAGGTCACTTAGGGACACCTGAGTATTTTGATACCACAGGCTGAACCGCAGTCTGCAGAGAAGCATAGGCTGGCCGAGGGACAAACTACAGCTACAGCAGAGTCCCTTGGGCTTCATCTACTCTGGGAGCAGAGGGGCCTCAGCAGGTCTGGGCTCTGCCTTTTCCCTCTCTGGCTCTAAAGCACTCTCAGCCCCTGCTTCCTATCCCTTTGCCATTGTTCCGAAGAACTTGCAGCTTGTTTCCCTTCTGAGGCTAGAGAGATGCATCGAGGGCCCAGCAAGAAGCACCCAGGAGTGATCAGGCTCCCAGAGCACAGCAGTGGGGAGCACGGTGCTCACCTATTGAGGTCCCGCATCATGTAGCCCTGCATCTCGGCTGATGGCCCTCGCAGCACCACGGGCTGAGGCCGAGTCCGTTCACTCTGGCGGCTCGGCTGCCTTTGGATGTTAGGGTTCCTCAGGGCTGTGCTGATATCATTGAGGAGCCGGGGCAGTGGGCCCAGCTTCAGGAGGGCTTCCTGGAAGGACAAGGCTGTCACCTGATGAGCCCAGTGCTAAAAGAGCCCTGGAGGGCACAGGCAGGGACTGTGTGAAGTGCACTGGAGGGTGGTGGTTCTTCCGGGAACAGGAGGGTGAGGAGAGCGGTAAGGGCCTGGGGGCAGGACAGAGGAGACATCTACTAACCTTGCTGAGCTGTGGCAGCACCTCCCAGAGCAGGGCGTGAAGTGTGGAGAGCTCGCGGCCCAAGTCTATGTAGCCCTCAAAACTGCTGCTGTTGGTCAGTGTGTCCAGGTTGGATATCTCGTACAAGAACTGCTGCATGGAACCCCACTCCAGCTCCAGAAACTCATTCATGAAGCCTAGGAAGTCCTCCTTTGAGGTAAACCTGCTCAGGGGACAGAGGCTCTGGTGACTCCGGGGACTCTTCCAGAAGCCCACAGCTCACTCCCACCCTTCCTGAAGTTTCCCTCACTTGGAAAAGTTGGCCAGGTTCTGGATGACCTTGGCGATGAGGGTGAGGGTTCGTGAGGTCTGCTCATCTGGGTACTCCTGCATCAGCCCAAACAGACTGGGCGACATGATGGCCGGGCAGAGAAAGCGCAGGAAGAGCGAGGCGCTGATGAGCCTGTCGGCAATGTCCTCCCGGCCCCGCTCTGCGCAGCGCAACCGCCAAGACGCAAACACCTCCTTCAGCTCCCTCGGGAACACGCTGGGGGGAAGGGGTGGGGAGACAGAGAGAGAGAGAGAGAAAGAGAGACCGGGACTGAGCCCCAGAGACCCTCAGCTTCCAGGGAACATGCTGAGGGGGTGGTAGGAGGTGAGGGTGTGGAGACAGGTGAGAGAGACCGGGAGGGAGGGACTGCAGGAGAAAGACAGGAGGCTGCTGAAGAAGAGGCCACGGTAGAGGGGAACAGAGTCTGGAGAGAGAAATGGAGAGGGAGAAAGGGTGAGGAAAGAGAGACACATGCGAGAGAGACGGAGGGGAGGGGTGTGTGAGAGAGACGAGGAGAGGAGGAGAAGAAAAACAGACACCGGGGAGAGACAGAGATGGGAGAGAGATGGGGGGTCACTTGAGGTACAGGGAGCTCGGACCCCCCAACTCTTCTGGATTCCAGGGAAATGGGAATGGACGTGCCCCAGGCATGAGCCCCAGTCCCTGGAATGGCTCAGCTCACTCTTCCCCCCTCCCAGTGCCACTTCAATGTCCCACTGACACCTTAAACTTGACTGGTGTAAAATTGAGCTCTCTATCGCCCCCACACTGCAGCTGGCTCCTCCTCTTGACTTCCCTGGTTCTGTCAAGGAGGCTATGGGTCTCCGAAGCACTAGTCCCATGACCTCTCAAGTCATCCTGACTCCCTACACAAGCTCTCATACAACCTCTGCCGGTCCTTCCTGTGGGGACCCTAAGCAGTCCCTTCTAGGCTCTCTGACTCCACCTTGATTCAAGATCTGGTTTTCACCCATTAACCATAGGCACCAATGGTCAACTTCTTTCTTTCCCTTCCCATACGGCTCATTGACTCATGGGCCAGTCTTAATCATGCTACTTCCTGGTAGCCACAGGACACCCCAGAACCCTGATGACTGCAGACTCCTGAATCCACTCTACTCCCTAAAAATATGGCTTTCTTATTCCTCCCTACAGCCACACACTTCTCTAAGCCTTTCCAGTTACTAGCCACCTTCTTGGGAGATGTCGTCTGCCTACTGTGTGCAAACGCCAATCTTCAAAGCCCAGCCCTGGGCACCTTTAATTAATTTCTCTGACCCTCCCTGAACACACATCACAACGGCTCTGTGGCTGTTTGTACATCTTACATCCCTTACTCGTTTTGGCTGGAGGCCCTCTGAGGTCGGGGACCAGGCCTTGTTCACCCTGTCTGCTCTACACCCCCAGAATGCTTTCCCATACTTATGTTCAGTCCTCTGAGGATGGACACATGGATGAACACATGAACACACACTGCCCAGCCCTGCCCCAGCCCAGCGTTCCCAGTCTCACCAATGCGAGTTGACCACCTTGCACAGGGCCAACTCACAGCACATCCGCAGGTTGGCCTGGTGCTCGGCCAGACTGGACGCTGTGCACTTGATGGGGTCTACTTCACAGTTCTCCTCCGACTCGTACAGAGCACGGATGAACTCCCCTGGGAGAGAGGCACAACAGGGAACGGTCACACTTCCCAGGGCAGGGACAGGGGCTCCCTGAGTTGCAGGAATGGCAGAATCAGAGGGTTGGAGGCTGGGGTGGCTGTGGGGTCTGGGGTGGCCAGGTTGAGGGGTGTTAGGGTGGGCATGAGGAGGTTTAGAAACAAGGCCTGAAGGTGAGCCATACCAATGGCATCCTTGAGGTATTTCTGACCAATCAGTCTCATATACTCTTCTATGGCTTTAGTGGCGAGCGTGTTCTCTCGGAATATGAGGTGTTCCCGTTCCATAAACCGGTCTACCTCAGACATGGCCATGTCTGAAAGGAAGTCCTGGGGCCCAGGAAAGTCCCACAGTCAGCCTGTGCAGAGCCCAAACTCATGGGCCTACTCTATGCTCACTGCCCCCAGACTGGCGCCCATTCTCAAGTCATCTCCCAGGGCACAGTACTCACCTTGGCCTTGCCTGTACTCTGTAGTATGTGAACCAGAGCACTGGCAACCTCCTCCTTGCCCTTCACATTCAGGGCAGGCTCCAGCACTGCACACAGCATCCGATAATGGTTGGTTACATACTCTGCAAACTCCTTATACAGCTCCATGGGTAGGATGCTCATTGTCTGGTAACGGGCTTTCAGCCTCACGGCAGGGCAACCACCTTTCCCTTTGCCCCCAGAGCCACCCCCTGAACCCCCTCCTCCTCCGGAGCCCATACCCCCAGAGCCTCCACTGCCTGTTGGCAAGGTCACAGGGTACCATTGCTCTGTAAAGTGGCGCCCAGCCAGGGTGGCCACCGGTACAGTCACCAGGCCAACATAGCCCGCCTTGTCCTTCTTTCGCTTTTTGTCCGAGTCACGGTATAGATGCAGCCGCAGGGCCCTAACAGCTGGCAGGTTGTTAAATTCAAAGTGCTCGCCCCAGAAGACAGTGTCTCCTGAAGCTGAGCGGGGCTTGGAGGTGGTCCGTGCATACAGCATGTCGTCCAGGCACAGCTCGCAGTAATACCGCTTCTTGGGGGGCAGCTCTCGAGCCTCTATGATCCATAGTTTCAGCACGTTGTCTACCCGGCGGCTATTGTCCTGGCATGAGGAAGTGGTTAGGGCAGACAGAGTGGAAAAGTCAGACACATCGAAGAGAAACAGTGAGCAGGTGGGACTGAAATAGAAGCTGTAAGGCAAGCATACTGGACCTCTCTAGATAGCCCAGGCTGGCCTCAAAATAAGCGTATGTACCTGAGTTCCTGTCTCTCTAGAAACGGAGTGTGACCTTATTGGGACATAGTGTCCTGGTGGATGTAATACAATTAAGATAAATGTGATCTCTTAATCCAGTGGCTGGTGAGTTTATCACATGGAGAGGGCCTTGTAAAGATGGAAGGACTGGACATACAGCCACAGAACAGATGCAGACCTGCTTATACCTGGACTTTAGACCTCTAGCTTCCTGATCTGTGAGAGAATAGTTTTAGCTGGCCCAGTTCATGCTTTTCACAGCAGCCCTGGAAGCTGACATAGAAGGGTAGCTCATACACAACAGAATTAACGTTGGAAAATGCTTGGATAACAAGTCAGAAACATTGGTAAAGGTTATTGCTGCCAAGCCTGATCACAGGAGTTTGAGCCCCAGGACCCACAACATAGTGAAAGGACACAAAGTTGTACTATGGCCTCCATAGTGTGGTGCACTGTGGCACCACACACCCTATATAAATAAATATGTAATTTTTCATTTCAATTGCTTATTTATCTCTCCATAGCTCTGGCTGTCCTGGAACTCTAGACCAGACTGGCCTCAAACTCACAGAGATCCACCTGCTTCTGTGCTAGGATTAAAGGCGTGCACCACAACACCCAGCAACAGTAAAGCAGACCCCAAAGATGGGTCTGAGAAGTCCTGCAGAAACACCAGAAGCTGCAAAACTTGCATATGTACAGGAGCAGTGAGACCTGACAGTTGGCCTGAGAGGGCCATGGCGACTGCGGCATATTGAAAGCTGTGTGGCATTTGGACCCTGTGTGGCTCAGCTTGTGCCTAGCATTTTTAAAAAATATTTTATTTATTTACTATGCATACAACATTCTGCTTCCATGTATATCTGCACACCAGAAGAGGGCACCAGATCTCATAACAGATGGCTGTGAGCCACCATGTGGTTGCTGGGAACTGAACTCAGGACCTCTGGAAGAGCAGTCAGAGCTCTTAACCTCTGAGCCGTCTCTCCAGCCCCCATGTCTAGCATTTTAAGTGGGATCCCTTAATAAAGGTACTGGGAGACAAGAAGAAGACGGCCAGGACTGTGAGCTTGGTACAGACCGTAGTCAGAGACCAGCTGACAGGGTGGCAGCTTTTGCTCAGGCAACAGAAGTTTTGTTTGGAGCACAAATTCACAGGGTCTCTTTCAAGGGGACCTTGAGGTCACTGAGTCCAAACATAATTGCACAGACTTTATAGAGAGAAGCAAAGTCCACAAACACTGTCAGTGAGGCTGGGTCGACACCTGTTAGGTGTGAGTGTGACCTTCTACCTGCAGGGAAACTAGACTAGAGGACTAGGAGCCCCGGGGGCTCTCACGGTAGGGAGCAGCTGGGAAGAAAGGGAGGCAAGTGGAGACACCCCTGGCTGTGCAGTCCAGGTCCCCCCCTCTTCCTAAACCCCCCAGTCTCCTGTTTCCACTTCCTCCCCAGTACCTTGTTGGGTTTTACAGCCCGCTGTAGATTCTCAATCCATTTGTCCCTTTCGGCTGCAGACCGACAGGCAAAACACTTTGTCCCAGATGATGTTGTCACCTGGAGAGAGTGCGGATTTGAGACAGGGTTCCAAAGACAGGCACTTCCTAGAGACTGGAGACCCGCCACCATGTCTTCCTGGTCCCAGGCTTTTTTCTTGACATCCCCACATGTGGCACTCATTCAAGGCCCCTCTGTCCCAGTCTCCACCATCCCTGCCCTTTGCCCTCCTCAGGCCATGAGAGCCACACCTCAAAGCAGAACTCCTGGCCCAGGATGGAGCTGTGCACCGGCTTGATGATGGAGTCTTCATCTAAGTTGAGCTCCAAGGCCTCAGCAGCACTGCTGGGACTCAACAAAGACTCGTGGGAGTGGGACTCCTTAAAGCTCTGCATCAGCCGGGCCCTGGGGGAGACGGGGTTCAGAGAGAGGTCAGAGAGAGGTCAGAGGGGGGAGGAGGGGGGGAAGGCCTCTCCTCAACCATCAGAGGGGCAGCCTTGGAAAGAAGGCCTCAGGCATTCACACACACTCAGAAAGAAGCCCAGACTCCCAGGGAAGGTGAAGGACATGGGAGCTACAGGGGAAACCAAAGCCCTTCAGACACTTCTCTACCTCAACTCAAACTCAGGGAGTTGGGATAACTAGAAATAACAGAATTGCTGGGCTTAATGGAACAGACCTTTAACGACAGCACTCAGCAAACAGAGGCAGGTAGATCCCTGTTACTTTGGAGGCCAGCCTCAACTACCTAGCAAGTCCAGGCTAGCAAGGACTACATAGTGTGATCTTGTTCTTAAAAAAAGAGACAGGGCTGGAAAGATGGCTCAGAGGTTAAGAGCACCGACTGCTCTTCCAGAGGTCCTGAGTTCAATTCCCAGCAACCACATGGTGGCTCACGGCCATCCGTTATGAGATCTGGTGCCCTCTTCTGGTGTGCAGATGTACACGGAAGCAGAATGTTGTATACAGAATAAATAAATAAATAAATAAATAAATTCTAAAAAGAGAGAGAGAGAGAGAGAAAGCCAGGCAAGGTGGCACACACCCTCAATCCCAGCATTCGGGAGGCAGAGGCAGGTGGATCTCTGTGAGTTTGAGGCCAGACTGGTCTACATAGAAGAGTTCTAGGACAGCCAGGGCCACAGAGAGAAACCCTGTCTTGAAAAATAAAACAAACAAACAAACAAACAAAGAAACAAATAATTCATGACAGAATAAAACAAAATAACAACAAAAACAAAGAAAAAAAAATGTCCTGGACATGTCTCAGTGACTCCAAAAACCAGAAACTCAATATATAAAGACAAAGGAAGCCAAGAATTGAGACCAGAGAAAATACAGTATTGTCTGGTTTGGACCTGACACACAGCTAGTGCCTAATAAACATTTCATGATTCAAACCATGAATGAAGTAAGAGAACAGTTTCTAGCACGACCAGGGGAAAGAGAGAGAAGCACAGAGAAGGATGTGGGCAGAATGGAGCCAAATAAAGGTCAGAGGGCAGAGCAGCGAGACGGTGGGGGACAGAGGCCAGGGTGGCAGTGCGCGGAGCACCGCAGGGGGAGCACGCTGAGGGGACACAGGATAGCGAGTGGTGTGGAAACGGTAGGACAGAGTGGAGAGCATGGGGAGACAGGAGGGAGAGCGCGGGTGTGGGAGCCTCCATGAAGTTATTTATAGCAGCCCCGTCATCACAGGCTCTGGCTGCCGTCAGCACCACGCTCCCCCGGCCCCCCGCCCCCGCGGCCAGGAATACCATGCCCTCACCCCCTGCCAGCCCTAAATCCAGCACTGGTTACTTGCAAGGGGGCAGGGAAAGGTGTGCCCGATTCACCTGCTCCCTGCGCGGCCGGCCGGCAGGACCCAAGGGAAAGGGAGGGCAGACGCTCTCCAGGCAGTGGCTGGACTAAGGGGAAGCCCAGAGAAGGACAAAGGCAGGAAGCCAGGTCTCCTTCCTCCTCCCTCATGCCAGCCTCTCCCCTGCTTACCAGGCCCTATTGCTTCCCTCCCACAACCACGGGGTCTGAGCCCTAGCCTCACCACCCAGTAGGCTTTTGCCCCTGCCCCGGGCAGCAGCCCGCCCGCCCGCCCGCCCTGCACCCTACCTATCCACTGGGCTTCACCTCCACCTCTTTCCCGGCCTCTGCTCTCTGCCGTCTCCACACCCCAACCAACGCGAGCCCCGCGGCCTCCGTTCTCAGGGGTCCCCCACGCACTCAGCACCCTGCTGCCCCCCTGTCATTTCAGGCCCTGTATCCACCGGTCATGGTCAGCACTTCGGAATCGAGGCAGGATCTGGCGAAAGCTGCTGGTCCGGTCAAGTTTGGGTTGTGACTTTGTACGTTTGATAGAGCTTTTTAGCTTCCGGCTCAGGAAGCCTTGCTGGGGAGCAGATGGGGACAGGGGTGACTGGGGCCGCACAGAGCCTGTGTAGATGCCCCCAGCAGGCAGAGAACCCCCGGGAGAACGGGGGGGGGGCAGGAGCCCCGACAGCAGCTTGTCTTCGCGGCTCCCGCGGGTGCTGTGCGGGGAGCAAACACACAAACACAAACACACACGCACCAGCCCGGGAAGGGGGGAGGCCGGCCTAAGCCGCAGGGGGCAGAGCCAAGAGGAGTGAACCAAGGAGGTGGG